TTATAACATACACAACTCATATGTGCTATTGCATCAAAACGTATTCTCTTGTGTATTGGTTAAGAGAAAAAAGCGATCATTACTGAACAATAATACATATACATTTGTTCTTATTTGCTTCAGATGAATGTTATTATTTTTTTTCAACACTTATGGAAAGTATTGAAACATAAATATTTTATTATTGTGGCCGGTCTTGCAATAAATCGTTTGCTTCGTTCAACATCATATCAAGTTTCTTACAAACGACTTCTTCTTCATGATCTATCCAAATTAGGACGAGCCGAATTTTGGCCCTATGCAGAATATTTTTATGGAAAAAAAGGTGTTAATCAAAAGCGTGATGATGCATTTCATGTAGCTTGGCTACATCATGTCGCTTATAATGATCATCATTGGGAACACTTTATTTCAAATTATTCACAAATAGCTAAGCAAATATGGAATCATCCAGAATTAGCCCAAAATTTTATAAGAGAAATGTCTGACGATGCTCTTCTGGAAATGATTGTTGATAACGTGGCTGCTTCTCGATCGTACGAAGGATTTTGGCCTAGTGGAGCGAAAAAAGACGGATGGCCACGGATGACTACGCACTTCGATCACTACGTTCTTTATCAAACAGCTCGTATCAAATTCGGCGCTCTTCTTTGTGCTCTTGGTTATGCTCGAGTTTTACCAAATGAATTCGATTGGACACAAATCTACGGATCCGATATTTCCTCTGCTGATAGAATGAAGCTTACAGAACTCGAGGCATTGGCAAAAAACAAATAATACACATGCATTTTTTCAAAAGACACAATAAAATGACGGAAGCATTTCAACTCGTCACGATTTTTGTTTTGGGTGTGGGTGTGGGGTGTGGGTGTCGGTGTGGGTGTGTGGGTGTGGGTGTAGGTGCGGGTGTGGGTGTGGGTGTGGGTGTGTGGGTGTGGCTGTGTGTGGGTGTGAGTGCGTGTGTGGGCGTGAGTGCGTGTGTGGTTGTAGGGTGTGGGTGTGTGTGGGTATGCGCGGGTGTGGATGTGGGTGTGTGGGTGTGGCTGTGTGTGGGTGGGTGTGGGGTGTGGGTGTGAGCGCGTGTGTGGGTGTAGTGTGGGGTGTGGGTGTAGTGTGGGGTGTGGGTGTAGTGTGGGGTGTGGGTGTGAGCGCGTGTGTGGGTGTAGTGTGGGGTGTGGGTGTAGTGTGGGGTGTGGGTGTGGTGTGGGTGGTGTGGGTGTGGGTGTGGGGTGTGGGTGGGTATGCGCGGGTGTGGGTGTGGGTATGAGCCCGGGTGTGGGTGTGGGTGTGAGTGTTGGGTGTGGGTGGGCCCGGGTGTGGGTGTGGTTGTAGAGAACGTGAACACCCACACCCACACCCGACACACCGACACCCACCCACACCCTCTCCTTGAAAAAACTCGAATATTTTCAATTATTGGAGGCGAGGGTGCACTCCACCCTACACCCCGCCTCCGCTTCTGCATTCCTTGTTACGAACACACTGAACAGGATGTGGGTGTTGGTGGTGTTTAAGAAAGAGAGTGACCAACATCCACTCACAGCCACAGCCACACCCAAACCCATACACATATCCACACCACACCCACACCCATACACATACCCACACCCACACCCACACCAACACCAACACCCACCCACACCCACATCCGCACCCGACACCCACTCACACCCCGCCCACACCCACATCCACACCCTCTGTAACTCATAGAAAACCGAATTTTCTATCAGTCATCAAAAATATTCACTCTACTATTATAAGGATAAAACATGGTGTTGTTCGGACCATATGAAAGAGTACCCTTACAAACCCCATAATCGGCCAGAACAATACTATGCTCTGTCCTTATAATAGTGGAGAAAACATTTCCTGATTAATTTTGGGCATGAATATTTTTGATCACCAGAAAAGATACAATTGATCACCAAAATGTGTTTGCTGCAAAATGATCACCAAAAAAAGATACATTTGATCACCAAACTATTTTATTGCGAAATGATCACCGAAAAAGGATACAAGTGATCACCAAATTTAATCAGTGCGAAATGATCACCGAAAAAGCATACATTTGATCACCAAACGTATTATCGATAAAAAAAAGCAATAAATACATGAGAAGACGCCTCGACTTAAAAAGAATACGATTACAGAAAAACTCTACTAAGCCGAAACATGATGAATTCCAGTACTCAGTACAGTCGGGACAACAACTCATGAAACTATTCCTGTTTCACGTTTTCCATTCTTGTTTGATTCGTGGTTACCCCGGCACCATCTAATAGCCGGATAACAGGACAGCTGATCTCCTTATTCTTCCCACTCACACCATCATTGTAAGAGCTACCCTCTATCAAAATCTTCACCCACACCCACACATCCTGCAGCACTCCTTCTCTTCGCTCTTATCCGTCGAATGAGTGTTTTAGACTTATCATCTATAAAACTAGTCAAAAAAGCTAATATTATACTAACTATTTCGCAATAATAATATTTGGTGATCAAATGTATGCTTCTTTGGTGATCATTTCGCACTAATTAAATTTGGTGATCAATTGTATCCTTTTTTGGCGATCATTTCGCAATAAAAAAGTTTGGTGATCAAATGTATCTTTTTTTGGTGATCATTTCGCAGCAAACACATTTTGGTGATCAATTGTATTTTTTTTGGTGATCAAAAGACAATTTTCCCATTAATTTTTATACCTAAATTTTCCATTCATTGAAATTGAAGGATCTCTATCCAGGCACACCAACAGCAGCTCATATTTTAAATTCGTTAGTTTCTTAGTGAGAGTGTTCATTTGACCCGAACATGGACAATCAATTCAACTAACAGTACACGCCCCTCTATTGTAAGACAAGAAATTCACTATTAAAATCGATTGATTTCTCTCATTTGGAGGTCTATGGGCAATAACGAAATGTACCACAAGAATCAGCTCGTCGAGCTCTACAAACTGGTATATATCCCATTCAAAACTAAGACTCACACTTGGTGATGTTCCCTCGTGAGCCTTATCTGATTTGAAAACATTCCGCTGCCCTTACGAAAGTATATTGTTCAATATTTCAATAATCCCAACGGTTTTCTTACGATTAATTAGAGCTGTAAGAACACAATTAAATACTGAATATTGGATTGAAAAGTAATAACGATGCATTAGATTCTCATGAAGTTTTAATTAATCTTCCAAAAAATGAAAAGATTTTACTAAAATTTATTTAGAAAAAATCAAAAACAAAAATTTTAAGACATAGCACATTATTCGAAAGAAAATCGTACGAAAGGTTTTTTCAAAGTATTCAATCAAATTTTCGATTAGCAATAAAAAAAAAAAAGATTATCATCAAGAAAAATAGCTTATCAAAAATGGCATAAAATATTAGCTTTCGTATTTATTAAAAAATGACAAACATTTTAGAACAAAAAACTTCATTAACAATAAATTTTACCAGTATAAATACACTTTATCATCGTATATATCACGTTTTACTCTCGTTAAATAGACATCGAATAGTTTTTCTAATTCAATAAAGCTCTTTACTATATAAAATTCTTCATCAGACATATGTTTGATACATAATGAAAATAAATTTTGTGTATTATAATTATCTTTCAAGAATAAAAAATGATAAAATCGGTAGATGTGCAGTCTAACTTAATAATTATTTGCTTAATATTATTTATTTTGGATAATAATTGATATGTTTCACTATTTTCAATTGATATTAAATCTGAATACACAAATGATACAAGATCAATTTGGAAGATATGAATATTAGATGATAAAAGTAATAGTTCAATTATTTCTATAAAACTACTAGAGTAGCTCTCAATAACTAATTTCGTAAGTTGTTCCAATAGAATAATATTGTTTAAAACTGGTTAAGAGAAAGTTTTGATTTTGTTTTTCAAAACAGTAGAATACAGTAAGTTCAGTGACATTTGGAAAATCATATTTACAATTAATTATACCTTCGTACTCATCAATTTCAACAAATTGAACTAAGTTTATTGTATGTTTTGAGCGTAATGAATACTTTTAAATGTTACTTGCATCATAGATTGTGTACCAGTTTCTTCTAAGAAATAAATTCAAACACACAAATCTTATTATTAGCACCTACATGGTTTTGTTGAATAAAAGATAAAACTCTCAAGACAATTATAATAAATTTGATATTCGAAAAACCAACGTCGATCAAATCAAAATGGAAACTGAAGTCAATGGAGTAGATAAGTATAATCGTAAATATTTTCATTCCAGTCTGTAGCATATAAAATCATAATATCAAAGATTCGTAAACGACACAAATGAAATAAAATCAGTCGTTGTCATCGATTTCCATCTAAATATGTTGAATCATATTCTGATGAAATATATAAAACTTCAATTTGATTAAATAAAATATTTATTATTAATTCAAAATCATTGAGATTCATGTTGTTTATATTTAAATCTCAACATGTTTTAAATGTTTCAAATGAATTGAATATTGTTCTTTGTATTTCTCAAAAAAATTGATTTGAAAGATGAATCGATAAACGATGAAGTTGAGGAACATATGATAAAAGACCATTCAATTTATCAATTCGTAAAATATTTGTAATAATAAGATATTCAATAGAACTGAATTCATTAATTGAAATAGGTAGTGAAACAA